TCTTTATAAAGTTAATATACTCTTTCCTTATGGACCGAGAAGTGTACTTAAAGCCCATCAAATTGTAGACTTTACTGATTATAAGTTTTGCCTCCATAGGATTGATTTTCCAAAGAGAGTTGAAAGATAGGAACAAATGCAACATGGAGGTGTTGTTTAGATGCACACACACTTGTTTAGATACACACATTCATACACATGTGCATGTAACACGACATGAAAACTTGAACACTGATTGGATATTAGCTGACACTGACTTGTTGAAAAATTTTAGTTTTGGTAATTATTTTTTATTATATTAAAACTGGGAAAAGACTTTTCCTCCTTTAGAGAAATATTTGTTGATAAGTTGATATAATAAGTGGCATTTGCTTTTTTCCCCTATTACTTGTGATTGAACCTAGAGCCTTCAGACAGAGCTACATTCCTAGTCCTTTTTTATTTTTTACTTTGATTAATCTTTTTTTTTTTTTTTGAGACAGGACCTCACCATGTAGTATAAACTGGCCTTGAACTCATTTATGTAGCCCAGGCTGGCCTTGAACTTGTGGCAATCCCCCTACCTCAGCCTCCTGAGTGCTGGAATTACAGGTAAGCCACCATGCCTTTATTTTTTAATTTTGAGACAAGGTCTTGCTAAATCACTAATTACCCAGACTCAGTTTGAACTCATGATCTTCCTACCTCAGCCTCCCTGAATGCTGAGATTATTGATATGCACCACTATATCTGACAGTATTGCTTTAAAAGTATTGAAATACAAGACAATGGTAGGGATATAAATGAAACAAGTTTAGCCAAATTTTGAGAACTATTGAAGTTGGGCATATTGAGGCTTATTTATACTGTATCATTGTTATAACTTTTAAATTATAATAGTTTGTTATTATCTTTAATGTGAGGACTTTGCAAAAAAAATAGTTTGTTATTATCTTGCTTTTCGGTTGTTGAATATTGTCTATAATAAAAAGTTTTTTAAAGAACTTGAGTCATTTCCTTTTTTCACATTAGGATATTATATTTTAGGACCTTAAATCATTTCATCCAAATGTAATATGTGGCTTTGTTCAGATCCTAAATTGAACAAACCCAGATATCTGTGGGTGCTGGGGATGATGGAGCACTTGCCAAGCATCTGTGAGGTCCTAGGTTTGATTCTCAATATCACAAAAATAGATACTTGTTTCTCACAAAAATAGATACTTGATTCTCAATATCACAAAAATAGATACTTGTGAGACAATAAGGAAAATATGAGTACTGAAATGAATGACATTATGGAGTTTGGAGAGCAGTTCCCCCCCCCCCCCACGGGACACTGTAGTAATGGAGAGCAATTTTTTTTTCTTTCTTTCTTTTTTTTTTTTTTTGTCTTTTTATTGGTACCGGGGATCGAACTCACGACTGCTTGCTTGCAAGGCAGGCGCTTATGCCACTGAGCTAAATCCCCAGCCCCTGAGAGCAATTTTTTAAAAGTTACAATAGTTCTGTGGTTATGCAAAAAAAGATGAAGAGAAGATAGGAGGAAGACAAGGGCGAGTTGCAGCTGAAGGGACAGCGATGATTCCAAATAACCCACATATCTTGAATCCAAATCCTTGCACATGATAGGGAAGTGCTCTACCAGTGAGCTGCATTCTCAGCCCTAGGATGGATTATCCTTAAGCCTGGGATGGATTATCCTGAACCTGGGATGGATTACCCTAAACCTGGGATGGATTATCCTTACACCTGGAACATTTTGTTGTGTCTGAAAATAGGAAGGTTTTTATTTTTTCAATCTATTTTATTTTAAAGAGAAAAATAAAACTGTTATAATAAGATGCTGAAAAATTAAATAATTGATTAAAAGATAATTAGCAAAAATAGTTAGTTAAAAGGATAGTTATTAGCAGTATTGTCATTCTGTACTGAGCTCATTACCCTAGTAACCAAGCACCAACCATATAGTTATAAATTAACTGACCGCTTCGTTATGCTGTTCTGTATGCGTCGCCCCCCCCCCCAGTAACCTGTGTGCTATGTCAACCTTTGTTCCCCCTTGTAAGAGACAAATGATGTTGTGTCAACCATTGTTCTCTTTATGAGAGACAAAAGTTCCTGGAATTGACAGACCAAGGGCTATGAATTGGCTAACCACTCACTGTGAAATGCCTCTCACCTCAAGCAAAGGGGAACAAAGGCCCACCTTATTTCTGTTTCTCATCACTATGTACGTAATGATCAATGAGCTAATCATAAATAAACTATAAAAATCTGTCAAAACTCTTAACTCAGTTGCACAGCTTTGCAAATTCCATCTGCACTGTGTCGCTGGGCCAGCTAAAATAAAAGCGCTTCTTTTAAAAAAGACGTCTTGCCCCATTTATCATCTCGGGGATCTTGCCCCGTTTTTCATCATGGGGCTTTCTTTTTGGGTGGATTACAACAAAAACAAAATTTCAAAACACAGTAATTAGGGGGTAACAAAGCTTTATACATTGCATATTGTTATCTTCAAATTAGTTACTCAGAGTACAAGATATCTGTAATCAATTGTCCAAACAGTACTAGCACAAACCTTTCTTTCCAATGAACTCAGAGAAATCAGTAGTACAGGTATCTTAACTATCTTTTATATATATAGTTTCAGCTTCTCACACTAGTGAGACAATATGATGTTTCCACATGTGTATCTGACTTATGAAAATAGGAAAGTTTTTAAACAATGATTCTGACATCAAACAACAGAGGAGCCATCTTGAAGGGGGCTCTCCCTGACCCAATCTTGGACAGTGGGAGCACTAAATAATGAGAGCAGAGTATGATGACTCACTAGGTAAAATGAATCTTTGTAGATATACATAAACCAACCAATCACAAATAAAATTCTGTTTATTGTAGCAGAAAGTCAACTAATAAATGTGTAGGTGTGATGAAATGAGAATATTATCATTCGGCAACTATCTTTGTAATAGCTGTCAAGCAAAAATCAGGGGCTGGGGATTTAGCTCAGCAGCATATGCAACCTGCCTTGCAAGCAGGCGGTCGTGAGTTCGATCCCCCGTACCGATAAAAATGAAAAAGACAAAAACAAAAACAAAAAGAAAAATCAGTAGATCTAAACTGAGTAGAGTTGCACACATCTACAATCCCAGAACTCAGGAGGCTGCAACAGGAGGATCAGTGAGTATTCAAGGCCAGCCTGGGCTGCAGAGTAAATTCAAGTCCAGCTGGCACTACTTAGCAAGATTCGGCCTCAAATAAAAACAAAGCAAAACAAAAGATGACAAAAGAGGAAAATCAGTAGATATAGAAATGAATAAATAGAAATTTTGAGGAATGACATACAATTTATATAGTGTAAATGTATCTTTTTATTATAAAGGAAAAAACAGTAATCTTCTAGTGGAGAAAACTGACAGAAACTCTCCTAACCCAACGGAAAAACATTAGCATCATCAGTAATTGGGCAAATCAACATTAATGCCTCCTGCTGTGAAGTACTGAGAACTCAGCATTACCTTTGTGGTATTCTGGCCCGAAGTGTTTAACTTGAATGTAACCATGAGGAAACACAAGACAGTTCAAACTGGAAGGCAAAATAACTGGCCAGTAGTCTTTAGGAGCATCAGTGTCACCAAAGACAAGGAACAAAGAACAGATGACAACTGAGTGCCGGGCATAATCTGGAATTTTTCTTTCCTCTAGTATCACCATTGATGGAATCTGAGCATGTTGATTAAACAATGGTATTGTATTAAACAATGATTGATTAAACAATGCTATTGTATTGATATTAATATTCTGCTGTTAATAATTGTTTAGTTGTTATGTAAATTAATGCCCCCTCCCCTTTTTTTGGGATCTTGAATCGAACTCATGATCACACTTGACAAGGAGGGGTTGTGCCCCTGAGCTGAACCCCAGCATGCCCTTATTTTTAAGAAAGCGCTCAGTGAAGTTCTTACGGGATGAAGTTAGTGTCTGTAATTTACTCTCCAATAGTTTAGAAAAAACAGAGCAGAAGAGAAAGAAGGTTTAGTGGAAGGTAAACCCGCCAAGCCACAGAGTATCCCTATGAGACTGAAACCTACATCCGACTGTTACTAAGCAAAACCAAAAGTTTCCTCCACCCTTACTGACTTTATTTCTACTCCCTGCTGCCTGAGAGGAGCGCTACCCACAATTTGGGACATATCTTTTGTTCCTTCCTTTCAGTCCATAACTCACAGCGGACGTTTAGTCTCACATCGAGAGCAGAAAACAGCTCACATTCCACGGTGGTTCTCAGGGTCTTTGAGTACCTGGTTTTGAGTCACTATTTGCCACCTGTCTATTTAGAGTGCAGTCTCTACGTGGCCAAAGCTGAGTTTTAGGAAGTGTTGCTTCCCTAATGTTTGCAAAGTGTTGGCAGGAAGGCAGCATTTCCAGAGTATTTACTGAAGGTGGCTGGACAGAGCGGCTGGCTGCCCAGACAAATTAAATCTGCCTTTTTCACGTCCATTCAAAACCTAAAGGACTCTTAAGGTGCCAGGTCAGGTCACACAGTATTTAAGAGAAACACGGAGAAAAGCTTTGAAGCAACGTCGCCAAGTGCGCAAGATCCCAGACTTGCGCGTAAAGGTGCACAGGAGGCTTCCGCAGGCTCATTTCTCTGCTCTTATACCGCAGGATCGAGTAATGCAGGGTCCTAATGGGAGCCCCGTTTAGGGGAAGAAACTGTTACCGAATAGGTCGGTAACAAGAGCTGTGCAGCAGCCCTTCGCGCCCTTAAGGACCCGGCTGCCCTTCGGTCGTGGTCGTGCGCCTCTGGGGCTACTCCGTCCGCGGGCTTCTCCCTTAAAGCCGCGGTGTACCGCATGACCCCGGGGTGGAGGCGAGCGCCGCGCGGAGGGAGCCCTGAGCGCCGCGCCGATCCGGGCCGTCCTGCTGCCGCCCTCCTGTGGCCGCTGCGGGGTGACCTCCCGGCGGTCCCGCGTGCCCCCTCCCTCGGCCGGTGACATCACCGCAGTTCTGTTCCCAGCTCCTCCCGCTCGGCGCCTGCAGCCGCAGTGACAGGCGAGCCCGGCCCGGTGGCGGAGAGGAAGTGCGGGGCGCAGCGCCGAGCCCGACCCCGCGCAGCGGCTCCCCGGGCGGCTCGGTGACAGTGTCGCGGCCGCGGGGCGCAGCCGGGGCGCGCCGGGCACAGCTGAGCGCCAGGCGGAGGCTTCTTCAGCGGAGACTCGGGGAAAATGGCTGATGACTTTGGCTTCTTCTCGTCGTCGGAGAGCGGGGCCGCCGAAGCGGCCGAAGAAGACCCGGCGGCTGCCTTCCTGGCCCAGCAAGAGAGCGAGATCGCAGGCATAGAGAATGACGAGGGCTTCGGGGCACCTGCCCGCGCCCAGGTGGCCTCCGCGCAGCCGGGACCCTCCAGTGGAGGTGAGTCAGCGTGGTGGCCTGGAGCTGGGGGCTGGAGACTGTCACCCAGGGTATGTGACCCCAGCCCCCTCGGCCTCTGCGTCCTTCGTAGAATGAAGGCGGCCAGACTGGAGCAGGCCAGGGGCAGTGTGTTCCCGAGAGAAGCCGTGGGTGGAACGGGGAGGAAGCCTGAGATCCCTGTGTGGGCTCTCTGAGCTGAGGCCTGTCCTATAGTCATGGATGTGCTGACTCTGGGAGAAGGAATTTGGTCATGTTATTTTATCTGGAGGCCAGCTTACCACTGCCTGGCTCTGGAACCCCACCCCCGCCCAACCCTAAGAGCCTCTTGGGGCCTTCTGATAGCCAGTGCTGCCCCAGGCTCTCAGTCAAGTAGTGCCGGGGAGAGGGCAGAGCTCTCGGCTCTTCGGCTCTTCGGGCTTAGCTTTTACATCTCTGGGAAAGCAGGGAACACTTGGTGCTCTAAGAAGTCAGATGTCTTCCCTGGGGACCATCTGCCATCCTGCAGCCACTGGGCAGGCAGGTTAATTACATTTAATCCTTTTATATGAATTCCTGAGCCCATTTCAGAGCTGGCAAAACTGAAGATCAAAAAAGTACACTATTGAAACAACTAATAAGCAGCAGATGAGGACTGAGCTTGTTTCTGTCAGACTGTAAGCCCTTTCTACCTGCCCACTCTGTCTTCTGTGTGCCTGGCTCTGCATTAGATTCCAGAGTTAGGGCAGGGGGCACAAAGGGGTACCCATTAGATGTGTTCCTGCCCTTCAACAGTTTGAACTAATTAAGTTTCCCAAAGGCAGTTCAGAGCTATGGTGGTTGGCTTCAGACCTCAGGGTTTGGGGCCTGGTTTTTTGTGATATCATGTTCATCAGTGATGGTCCTGTTCTGGTTGTAGCTTGAAAGAATAAGCTCTTAAAATGTTTGGTTCAAAAAAAAGGTGGGTATTACATTCATGTGTACATCTCAAACACACTTTCCTGTTAGTGGTGTCATTTTGGAGGGGTCTGTGTGCCCACTAAAATAAGGGTGTGTGTGTGTGTGTGTGTGTGTGTGTGTGATGTTTATGAGGCTCTTTACTAGTCATTTTTGTATTCATTCAACATTTGCTGAGCACCAACTGAATGACAGATCTGCTGGAAATACAGAAATGAACAAGACAGTTCTTGTGCCTGAGGAGTTGAAGCAACATTGAATCCCCTTAATATAAAAAATATAACAACCCTTTTTAACCCTTTTGTAATATATAAGATACCAGAGGCCCAGAAATTATGAATATGTTGCCTAGCTGGGTCCCAGATTCTGGATCTCTCAGCTCCGGGTTCCATATTCTTTCAAATGCAACGGTGGCCATCTGGGGAGGTAATTAAATGTGAGCATGAGGAGGTAGGGGTCTTTTGCTACTTGATCATACTAGCAATAGAGGTATTCTAAAGCAGGAGTGCCCAGCCCCTCAGAATAGACCCTACAGACCCAGGGAACCCCTAGGAAATGTTCGTCCACGTTCACACTCTGGTATTCATTTGTCCACACTTCCTGTGTAAGACCACCCATTCCCTAATCTGGCCGGCTGACCGTAGGAGACTGCACACATGAGAACCACATGAAAGACAAGGGCAGGTAGGATCCAGGCCAAGAGGGGCCAGAGGGGATCCATTGCGTGTTGAGTAACTTTTGGCCTCTCTTGAGACAGTGGGGTTCCAGGGTCTTGCTATAGGGACGATCCCTCTCTGGCAGGGTGGAGTGCCAGTTGGCCCTGAACCCAAGATGACAGGGAGAGAAACGGTGATGTGCTGTCTCCCTCCAGGAAGCTTCCAGGGACACAACCCTCTGAGGGTCTCCCAGACTCAAACCTGCTGAGGTCACAAATGCTTCATTGCCCTTCTGAGTGGCTATCTGAGGAGCAGGCAGGTACTGTGGGTTGTTATTCAATGGGTGACCAGACACAGATAGAATTGACCTGATCCTTCTAAGCCTAGGTAGCCAAACAGGTAATCTCCTGCCAGTCCATGATGAGTGGATGGGGCTGAGAAAAAGGGCCTTGGCCTGCTTGGAGCTGGGTGAAAGCTGGCTGCAGCAGTGGCCCACAATCCATACTTCTGAGTCATCTTCTCTTACATGCCGGGGTCCTCGGAATGATCTCTGTACTGAGTGCCCTAATATTGAGCTTCCAGTGCCCCTAGAGAAAGAAGTGTTGGTGCAGGCCTCAGCCTGAGCCACACTAAGCCTCTCTTCTGGGCTGGATTTGTGGCCAACCTGAGCTATGGACACTTTTTCCCATTCATTAGCCTTGAGTTGAGCCCAAGAGGTTTACATTTTCACACCCAGTTTTCTGGATGCAGGCCTGGTTGTGACTTGTTTGTCAGCTCTAGGCAAGCCCATTTCCCCTGCTGGGCCTCAGTAAGCTCAGAGGAATGTTCTGGTCCCTCTCTGCCCTTGTTTCGAAATGGGTCAGGCTCCTAGGGATGCCACACACCCAGGGGTTTATCCATGGGCCTTGTATTTGCCTTGTTCCTGTTCTGCAAGCTCTGGTTTCCGGCCCATGATTATAAACATGCAGTAATCAGAGGGCTCAGTGAGAGCAGATGCTGGTCATCTGTGTGGATAGGTGTGGGTTCTCAGAGAGGCTGAAATGCATCTCTAGAGGGAACTGTGACTGGAGCAGAGACTTTCTGGAGGTCCGGGTGGGCTCTGAGCAGCTGCCTGCAATGAGGGTTCTGAGATCACAGCTGGTCATATGGGAGAAGGACTGGTGCAGCTTCTCCAAAAGGCCCCATCATTGGGAATGACTGGCAACGTAAGCCCTGGGAAGAGGAATTACCCCAGAAGAAGCCCCTTTGTGGAAGATGCTGCCAAACTCCATTGGTCTCCTGTATTGGTCCCACCCTCATTTAGGGACCCACAGCAGAGACTCTGAATGGGTGGTGTTGATGGCCGGCATAATAGGCCTAAACCAATCACTATTTACTGATATGAGATTAAGTACCCCTCCTTTTGGTCCTGTCAGTCTTCAGACCTAAAGCATTATCACTTCTGCTTATGGCCCTGTGTAGTTCATGTAGGTGTGTTTGTTTATCTGGAGTAATTTTGTGTGGCCTCCTATTTTCTTTGCTAGGAGGCACTGCAGTTTCTGAGAGGCCTTGCAAATTACAGTGGACCCGACAGAGCAATCCAGCTTGCATTTAGCCAACCACTGGTCACCCATTCTGTGCAGGAGCCCTTAGAAGGTGAATAGGATACAGAGCCTGGTAAAGGATTATCTGCCCCTTAGGGTCACAGGTGCTCTATGACATTCTGGTATTCCCCAGAAGTGAGGCCTTCCATCAGTGCCAAGGGACATATAGGAAGCAGGGCTTCCTGGAGGAGGCAGCTTGTGAAATGGAAAGTATTCTTTAGAGAGGGAAGCAGAATATATGGTTTGTGGGTAGGACAGGCAGGAAGTGAGCCACGAAAAATGGGCAGAGCCAGATTGTAAAGCTCTTCATGAACTGCTCTAGACTTAGATGTGTTTCTTAGGCAAGTATTTATTGAATTGGCTTCTGCCTGAATGGAGGGTCCATTTCAAGAGGGGAAGACAGACACTAAATACACAGGTGAACTAAATTCATATCAGGTCAAGGTAAATGCTGTAGCGCAAACATGCTGGGGAGCAGATACCTGAGGGGTGAATGAGACAGGTGATGAGGGAACCCTGGAAGGAAGACCACGTATATGAGCAGAAGCTGGAGGGAGTGAGGAAGCAGACCATATAGAAGTGTATAGGAGAACCGTCCAGACACAGAGCACAGCACCTGCAAAGCCCCCATGGCAGAGTCTGTGATCCCAGACTTCGGAAGCCTGAGACAGAAAGACCACAAGTTCGAGCCCATCCTGGGCAATTTAGTGATTAAGAGGGCTAGGAATGTAGTTCAGTAAGAAGGCCCTGGGTTCAAGCTCTAATACAATGGAGGAAGGGAGAGAGAGAGGAGGAAGGAAGAAAGGAAAGAGTTGGGCATGGTGGGCATATCTGTAATCTCAGCTACTTGAGAATCTAAGGTAGAGGATAATGAATGCAACGCTGAGACCACCTTGGGCAATTTAGTGAGGCCTTGCTTCAAAACAAAACAAATTAGAGAGCTGAGAATGTACCTCAGTGGTAGAGTATGTGCTTAGCATGTATGAGATCCTGGGTTCAATTCCCAGTATAGAGAGAAAAAAAAGAACGAATGCGTCTGTTTGTTTATTCAATAACTACTCTAGTTAGTGAACCCTTCCAAAGGAACAGACACATTGTACCTGGCTCTGGAGAAGACAGTTGTGACTGTGAGCAGAAAGAAAGAGACAAGTTTTACCTTGATCAGGTGTCTAGCAGAGTGGACAGACCAAAGCAGGTGTGCAGGTGAGTGCTGGTGAAGGTCCAGGCCGAGCTGGGCATCAGGGAGAGAGTGGAGGGCATCTATGAAAGTCAGTGTCCCAGAAGACACTGCTGGAATTTGTGACTAATAAGATGTCTGGCAAAGGGACCTGGAAGAGTCATCACTGAAGGCAGAGTAAAATCCAGGGAAGGGCACAAAAGAAAAATAGGCCAGGTGCTGCCTGATGGGAACCGTGGTTGCTGCTCTCCCAGGTACAGCAATTGCTCAGTGCTTCCCAGGGACAGGCAGAGACGTGTGGGCCCCTCTCTTCCCTACTCTGGTAGCCCCTGCCCTGCACCTGCAGCACCTCTGCCTGCTCACCAGGTCTGGGCTGCAGACAGTCAGGCTACTCCCAGCCATATCAGTTGGTTGATTAACTTCAGGTATGTAGGGAACTATTCCTGGCTGGGTAATCTTTGGCAATCATGTAGCCTGTGCTTGAGAATCTATAAAATGCTAAAATGTCATAATAGAGCCATGAAAATCAAACATGGTAATGGCTGTGCATGGCATCGTGAACAGTCAAGGACGAGCCCCAGTTATTTATGTGTCTGTTACGTCCATGTGTGTGGGATCAGTGTATACTTGGGTGTATTAGAAGTTGACTCTGGCACTGATACAGGACCATTCTGTGCTTGCTATAAGCTGAACAATGAGTGATGCTGTCTCCTTGTTCTTTTTCTAGCTGGTTCTGAGGACATGGGGACCACAGTCAATGGAGATGTGTTTCAGGTAAGCGGTTCTTTCTATACCTATTTTTTTTTTTTTTTTGTCTTTTTCCTTTTTATCAGTACCAGGGATTGAACTCACGACTGCCTGCTTACAAGGCAGGCGCTTATGCCGCTGAGCTAAATCCCCAGCCCCAAGTGGTTCTTTCTTATCAGTCCTGACATCCTAGGACTCAGTAGTAGACGGCTGCATCATCCATAGGCTTAGTGCTCCATATTCTGTTCAGTATATGTGATGCTTGAAGGTGGGAGTTAGAGGAGGGGTTTGATATATTTTCTTGTCACATAGGAGGAAGGGATGAAGAACATGGACCTCTGGAGATAGGGATGGACAGGCAACCTCAGGTTATCCATAGTGGTATCTAGCTCCAGAAAGGAGAAACAAAATGACCCACAGGAGCCCACAGGGAATGAAGGAGGAACAGGGCCCTGCCCTGTGTCACTGGTGGAAGTGTGAACTGCGTGGCTATCTCTCACATGTCTGAGCACTTCAGGGAAGCAGGTTGTGGAATGTAGAGGTTCCACTTCTTGGAATATTCTCTAAGCAAATAATTAGAAAAGAGCACCCAGCTTCTTTGCAAGATTATTTATAGTGTTAGACACACAAGAGAGAACCTAAGTGTCTAGCATCAGGGGCCTGGATAAATAGAGAACCTGTGTTACAAACCCATGCTATAAAGCGTGGAGCAAGAGCTTCCCAGATTGACAAAGACGTCCACGGTATGTTTAGTGGAAAAGAGCAGAGTGCAGAATAATACATAAAGTATGGTCTTGCTTTTTTGTTTTAAAAATATTGGCATAAAGTGGGGCTTGATGGGACATGCCTGTAATCCTAACACTCTGAGAGGCTAAGGCAGGAGGATTGAAAATTTGAGCTCAGCTTTGGTGGCTTAGCAATTTAGCAAGAGAGACTCAGTCTCAAAAATAAAAAGTAAAAAGGGCTAGAGATATAGCTCAGCGCAAAGGCCCTGGGTTTAATCCCCAGTAAAAAAAAAAAAAATTTTTTTTTGCACAGAATATCTGAAAAGGTGTGCCCTAGTGTTAACAGCTGTTAACTCTGAGGGTGGAGGGTAGGGTGGGGATAAGAAAAGTCCTTTCACTTTCACTGGATTAAGAAAGCTTTTAAAAAATGGTGCTTCTAAAAAAAAAAAAAATAGTGCTTCTATAAACTAGGCCTGGTGGCACATGCTTATAATCACAGCACTTGGGAGGGAGGTTGAAGCGAGAGGATACCATGAGTTCAAGGCCAGCCTGGGCTACACAGTGAGCATAAGGCCAGGCTGAACTGCATAGTGAGGCTCTGTCTCAAGAAAAAAAAAATTATTCCATAACACAAAAAGGGGGAAACCTAGTTAAGATATGCCAAGGGGGTGGGGATATAGCATAGTGGCAGAGGGCTAGGGGCAAAAAGAAAATCTACCCGTAGACCTGAAGACTGCTCCTCAGGCTGGGGATGCAGCTCAGTGGGGAGGCCTCAGGTTTAATTTCCAGCACCACAAAAGAAACAAAACAAAACAAACAAGGCTGCTTCTCTGTGGAGTCAGCTAAATCCTTCCCATCTTATATACACATCGGTTTTATAGAACTTAGACTGAGAGAACCCAGACCACAAATGGCACCTCCAGAACCCCACAAAATACACTAGGTGTCTGGGTGGAGCTGAGCCTGCACCGAATTCACCTCAGTTCCCACCCTGATTAGATCAAAGGGGCTGCCTCTGGGAAACCTCCTCAGTCGTGGAGGAGTTGGCCTCTTGAATCCTCTGGGAGAATTAAAGTGTTTTCTTACATAAGCGGGATGAGCTGGTACCTTACACAAGGAGACTGGCCAAGTTCTGTTTTTGGAAAATTACTCAACTATTAGCAAGCAAGAAAAGTCAGCCTCTAGGATTGTAGCAGCTTCCTGTCCAGCTAAGTCTGTCAGAGCCACACAGTGGCTGTTTACTGTTGTACAGTGTGCTAGAGCTTTGAGACTTGGACTGCCAGGTGCTGGGCATAACCAAGGGACTTGGTTTGACCCAAAATGTCTATGTCCTAAAGTGGACCTGGCTCTGGAGACAAGCTTAGAAGTACAGAATTACCTAGAACACTAGGAGAGGACAATTTTGTCAATGGATTAGAAAGTTGAGTGTCAGAGGTAGAGTGACTTATGTAAAGTCACATAGCAAGTCAGCCAGTTCTGGAGTTTCCTGGTTTGGTTGATTTGACTCCCCTGACTTGACTCCTCCTCTTTACCCCACAAAAGCTCCACCTCGCAAATGAGGGAGCAGGAAATGGGAGGCTCCTTCTCAGTCTCAGAAGGAATTATTTTTCTCACTGCTAGTACTAGTGATCTCAGGTATGTTTATTTGTAAATCATTTTAGATCATTGCCATCCTAGATTCCTACCGGGCAGGGACGAGTCATTTAGAAGCTTAATGGCAAAGCTCCAGCTTACCCACCTCTTCTGATTTGTTTGGGTGCGCTTGGTGTTGTGTTACCCCCTGTGGCTGGAACTGCAGGGCTATGGCAGCAGGCTGCTGGTGGAAAGACTCAAGAGCTCTGTTTTGGTTGGGTATAGCTGTGTCTGAACCGCACTTCCTTGGGGAGAGACATGCTGGTCTGTGCTAATGCAGCGTATTCAAGGCATCTGGGCAGAGCTTTTGTGCTTCAATCTTTTCTGGCAGCTGGTGGGCTAATAGGAGGTCCAGTTATAAGCCTGGCCCCCAGTGTGACCTAAGGATAAGCCTGTCCACATCTATTCGGGCTCCATTTGGTACCCAGGGTGGAGGGAGACAGGGACAGGGATGGCAGGCCCCTGAAGGATTTTCTCTCCTCTCTACTTCTGCCTGTATAAATTCTACACACACACACACACACACACACACACACACACACACACACACCATCCTCCTTTGAGCTCCTTAGAGGAATCAACAGCTCAGCTCAGCTTAGCTTTAGCTGGTCAATCCTGAAGATGGATATCCCTTATCCTCCTGGCTGTCCCTGAAGTCACAGCACACCTTTGGCCAGCCTGGTCTACAGCAGGTCTTGAGGAAGTGCTAGCATGGGAATCTTTGAAAAGAGGCGCGCTAAGGAGTGGGGCCAAGATAAGCTTGCCTATAGCCATCTGCCTTCTGGGCCTGGGCATTCCTGACCCCATTCCTGAATTTGAGAAGGGCTCAGAACATTTTTGTAGCTACTGGTGAGACCCCTGCACTGCCAGTCTCCTGGCAGTGAGCTGGTCTCCCAGCTGGGCTGCTCAGATGATTAAGGAAGAGCCCAGTTGTGGGTCCTTCTGACACTCACTGGCAGGGATAGGATGATAAAGCCAGAGATGTTTGGAGAAGAGAAGTCAACAAACAGCTTCCCAGAAGCCATGTGTAGTCGCACATGCCTGTAATCCCAGCACTCTGGGAGGCTGAGGCAGCAGGACTGAAAATTTGAGCCCAGCTTGGCAATTCAGCAACTTAGTAAGATGCTGTCTCAAAAGAAAAAATAAAAGAGGGCCGGGGATGTAGCTCAGTATGAAGAACCAGGGTTCAGTCCCCAGTACCAAAACAAACAACAAGAAAGACAGAAAACCTGCTTTTCAGGACTTGGCCTACCAGGGCCTCGTCATGGGGCAATGAGGGCCAGCATGTATGGAGCCTCTGCCACGAGGCAGGAAGGACCATGATAGCTGTGCCATCCCTCACATGAGCACCATCTATGGGCTATGGGCATTTCCATGGTACTTGTTTCATGTGATTCCTATGTGTATCTTGAATGGGATGCTGTCACTGTTGTTTTGCAGATTCAAAAGCCAATCTGCTCAGGGAAGGTTAAAAGCCCCATTCCTCTGATGCTGTGCCCTTCAGTTTGTACGTACCCTCAATATTTATTTTATAGTGCTGGGGGATTCAAGGCTTTGAGAATGCTAGGCAAGTACACCAGCACTGAGCCATATCCTCAGTCTCTGTGTCACTTTTTTTTTCTGACACAGGATTTTGCTGTGTATCCCAAGCTGATTTGGAACTCATTACATGGCCCAGGTTGACCTTGAACTCTAAATGACTAAGAGACTGGTCCAGTCTCTTGAGTGCTGGCATTATAGGTGTGTGTCACCAAACCTAGCACCCCCTATCACTTTATAATCAGCCACTATTATTCATTTGATTAACTCAGTCATTGAGTGATATGGCCTATGCTGTAGTAGGAGATACAGATACAAATCCATGGGGGTGTTTGTCTTCAAAGAGTTTGTGTCTAATGGGGTACAGAGACCTGGAAAGAAGCAATGGTTGTCCAGGATGGTAGGAAGCTCAGATGGAAGGGTAGTCTTAACAGTTTTAATCTAGGCCCATGGTCTATGCAGATAGTCCCAGGAGGTTGAGGAAGGAGGATTATAAGAAAGGAAAGGAAAGGAAAACAAAGGAAGGAAACTGAGCACAGTGGTGTATGACTGTAATCCCAGCACTCTGGGAGTTTGAAGCATGAGGATTGCAAGTCTGAGCTCACTCTGGGCAACTTAGTCACTAGTGAGACCCTGTCTCAAAATTTGAAAAAACATTTTTTAAAAAAAGGGTTAAGGATATATTTCAATGAGAGTGACCTTGGTTTAATCCCCAGAACTGGAAATACAAAAAACAAACACAACATAACATAGCATAAAACAAAACAAAACAAAACAAAAGACAGAACATAGTTCTTAGAAAGAAAGAAGAGCATGTATGGAGCCTTGGGTTCAATCCCTACCACCACATAAATAAAATTTAAAAGAAAGAAAGAAGTAAAGAGCTAACACTTTGCATTCTTCCTATGTATCAGCATCATCCAAAAGCTTTGTAAGGATTAAACTCATTTAACCCTCTCATGCCCTGTGATGCAGGTTCTTTCATTATACCTATGTTGCGCGAGAGGTTTAATAGTTTGCTCTGGTTTCATAGCTTGAATTAAGTCAGGAAGTGGACCAGGGAAAGGATGTTGAAAGTGAGTTTCTAGAATTCCAGGGTGGGGTGGGGGTGGTCCTGGCCTAGGGACAGCA